TCTGGTCCTTGTTTATTCCTGCTCGTGCATCTTGATCCTTTCCCATATTTGAACCCAGCATTCCCATTCTAGATTGCTGTTGCGATGCAAATGCTGCTTTTTGTTGCTGCGCTTGGAGAGCGTACTGAAGATATGCTTGCTGAACTGGATTAAGACTTTGCTGACCATCTTGGGAAGAGCCATGTTGTTGAGACAACTCAAAGAATTTCCTAGACTGCTGAGGCAACTGCATTGAGCCTGGAGAGGAAACGAAGTTGCCCCCTCCCATCATTCCCTGAATACCACCAGCATGATATGCTAACATGGTTTCATTTCCCTCGGAGTTTCTGAGCTGTTGCTGTCATGAACGCATGGAAAAAATTATGAGGACACATTCAAGGGTTGCTCTGTAAAAGAAGAAAGCAGGTACTCCACACGGCAACAGGTAGACAAGCAAATAAAGAAGACAGGAAACAGTTCTCTCGACAAAGCTATGCAGCTTCAATTTAAGACAAAAGAATGACTTTCTATTTTCACGGACTTTAAGACGAACCAGTTAAACCACTAATAAATTAAATAACCAAAAGTTCAAGCGGGCAATCAACGAGGTCTATTAATTGCAGATACAGTCTCATCTGTGCCACCAGAACCATCATGTAACCGCGACGATATCGTCCTCCAAACAAATAGCCCATTTACTTCCTCTGACGTACAAAACACTACAGAAACCATTTCCACTTCACCTGAACTTCAAGCTGAATTTCGAATCTTTACCTGTCTAGACGCCAATTGTTGTTGCTGCTGCTGCTGCTGCTGCACAGAAGATGATGAAGAAGACGGAGACGCAGCGGATGACGTGGATGCGGTCCGACCCGCCGGGCCCACGCCCGGGTTCCGGGCGGGCCCTCCGCCACCGCCTCCAGATTGCATGCAATTCGCCGAGAAATCCAAACACTCACTCCGCGCAAACTAATCAAACCCAAATTCACGGAAGAAGAAGACAAAAGTTCAAAACCCTACCAACGGAACCCCAGGAGGACAAAAAACAAAAAACAGAAATCCCTCCAAAAAATTTCGGACAAAAGCCCCAAAGGGAGCCTGAAAAACCTCGGATCCCAACGTTCCAAAACGGAAATTTTACAAGCCCACAAACACTCAGTCGTGGCCACTCTTCTCTCTCTAGATTTGCATCGATTTTGGGTGCCCCTCTCGAAGATGCGAAACTCGCGGGATGTAAGGGAATAATTTGGATCTTCGTGGGTTTTCGGGAGATGGAGGGAAGCGAATTCAACGGAATCGGTGATCGCTTCCTCCTCAGAAATTCACGCGATCAGAATTTTCTCGCACTCAAACCCTAGCGGGTTACTTCCCTTTTTTTCCTCTTTTTTTCTTTTTTGTTTGGTGGGCATTAATCTGATTTATTTTGATTTACTTAATAGGTGGGGGGCCCATGCTCTCAGTACAGTTGGAGCTTTACGGAACGTGAATTCAAAACCACCTCGGTATTCGACGTTATTACGAATATGCCCCTAAACATCTCCATCCCCATATGACATTCGCCAATCGTAACGGAACACGTGTCTCGGTTGGACAAATATTGTCTCTATGCATGGCTGTCAAATGGAACGACGAATAATTAATTACTTGCAGTTTCTTTGTTTTCAAAAATTATTTTATGCTTTTTTTTATATCAGAATACCTAAATTAAATACGCAATATATATTATTAATTAAGATAATACGCTTCTACAAAGACAACACAATAATAAGAACAACACATGGAAAATAAAACTTGGCTTTTTTGTTTTATGGAGCAGAGACAGAAATTGAGTTTTTTTTTTTTGGTATGAGAGATCAATCGACGGGAACAGGCTCCATCTTCTCAGCCTCCTTCCTCAGCTCTTCGAACAACACAGATGACAGATATCTCTCCCCAAAGCTCGCATGCAATGTCTGATTAAAAGATACCATCAAACACAAAAACCAGACACATCTTCATAGATGGATCATATCTAAGACAGACAGCAGGCATGGCAGTGAAGGGTTTTGGTTTCTTGGTCTCTTACCACTATGAGTTTGCCTCTGTTCTCCGGCATCTTCGCCAGTCTCAGAGCCGCAACTGTGTTGGCTCCCGACGATATCCCCACCTGTGTTTCGATACCCAGATGTTATTTTCCCCAATGGAGTGGAAATGGAACTGAGAAATGCGTTTGAGGTTCTTACCATGAGCCCTTCCTTCACTGCCAATTCTCTAGCCATCTTTACTGCATCTTCACTACTAACCTGCCATTGAGTCTCTCAGTTGCGAAAATGCTCGAGCTCCTCTCCAAAAAAGATCAGAGCTTTTGGCAACATGACTGACTAACACTGACCTCAAGAACCTTCTCCAAAATATCCATGTCCAAGATGTCCGGCTTAAACCCAACTCCATTCCCTGTGATAGCGTGCGGACCTGTTCAAGCAACTACATCAATGGCAGCCGATCCAATCCACTAAACAAGAATATGCATCACACTGCTATCGAGCATTGGCAATAAATGTAGCGGAAAACAAGAAATGGGCATATGATTCCATGTTTTCTTACCGGGTTTACCACCGTTTAATATGTTGCTTTCAGCAGGCTCCACTCCATATATCTGCATGAACTTGCATGAACTGATCAGAATGAATCTCGCGCTAATTATGCAACCATATCAGAGAAACCATGTGTTGAATCACCTCGACATTAGGGTTTTTAGATTTGAGGAACTGCCCAACACCAGTAACAGTGCCACCGCTTCCGATTCCCATCACGAATATGTCGACATTTCCAAGGGTGTCTTCCCATATCTCAGGGCCAGTCGTCTCGAAATGTGACTGTTTCCCGACCATCAAATTTCCACATTAACCTGACACATCTCTACTTGTACACAGAACAAGATTTGATGATGTAACTACAGACAAAGGAGATCGCCAACCTGAGTATTGGCCTGGTTCGAGAACTGCTGTAACATGTAGGAATCGGGTGTATTCTCCAAGAGCTCATACGCCTTCTTGACGGTTCCTCCCATACCTTTTGTAGGATCAGTGAGGATGAGCTCGGCCCCGAAGGCTCTCATGGTCACCCTCCTCTCCAAGCTGGTGTAAGAGGGCATGGTCAATATCATCCTGTACCCTTTCATGGCCGCCATGAAAGCCATGCTTATCCCCATGTTTCCGGAAGTGGGTTCGATTAAAGTTGTCTGAATGAACACAACACCAGCTCAAGAAACTCGTCGACAAAGCAATAAACAGAACCTCAGACACCCATCAACAATTCGAATTGGTGAAAAGAAATCTTCCATGGATAAACTCCTCCGAAGACGCTTACCTTGCCAGGAGTGATCAAGTTTTTCGCTTCTGCATCAGCCACCATGGCTAACGCTGGTCTGCAGACAAAATTGATGGTTTCTCTTTAGATTCAGGCCGGATAAAATTGTATAAAGCCATGGTCTTTAATTCAATGAAGAGAAGGTACAATACCAGTGAAGAAAGGTTGGAAAAAAGTACCTGTCTTTGACACTGGAAGTTGGCTGGAACATTTCTTGCTTGGCTGCAATATAAGCCCCACATCCTTCGGTGACTTTGTTGAGGAATACAAGAGGAGTCTTCCCGATAAGCTGCAACGTACAACACAAACCCAGAAGAATTCAGATCTCCATCGTTAATCAACACGAAAACATGTGAAATTTTCCAGGAAAGATGAGAAGAAACGAACAATTCGACTCACCAGAGAGGCGTCGCGCTTGGCGTTGGTGGAGGGGAAATCCTTGGGAAGATCTCGGAGTCTCTGAGCAAAAGAAGGGGATCCAACGGTGGAGAAGAGCTTCCTCATGGTGTTCACGCTGCATGGGATTTCTTCTCTCCTCAGCAACCTCCTGAAAGCAGCCGCCATTGATGATGAGAGACCAAACAGAGCTCAGAGAGAGAGGGAGAGAGAGAAGCAAAGCCGAAAACTTGGGGCGAAGTGTCCGAAGATAAGTGAAAGGTGGAGAGGAAAAGAAGCAGCAGCCAAAGCTATACAATACCAAAGAAATGTTTAAAAAAAATGGCAGAGATAGAGACTGGAGAAGGGTCGCTTTCGTGTTTAACTTGAAGACGTCTTCTTTCACTGGCCAAGAGAAGACGAGTGAAAGTATTTATGACTAAATCTGCAGAGAATGAAACTGTCGTTTCTGTAGTCACAGCCTCAGAGGCATTTGACCATCGCGCAACCTATGTTTTTAGGCAATTTATTTAGAGCAAATCGTTAGTTTTTTTCCCGTCTCGCACTAAAATCTTTTAAAGGACGACACTTTTGACTGAACCATGAAAGGGTCTCATCTTTTACCCTTTTTTTGTCCGAAAGTTCAAAACTTTAACTTTGGAAAGCGGAAAAGTTTCTAGATTTATGTTGTATTTGAAGGCAAGAGATAAGAATATCAATTCAGATTCTTCTATGTCATTGGATAATACGGCATCTATCAAAGTAAGAAAGTAGCCCTCCATTTACTCCAAGCGACGCACACATGTTTTTTTTGCCTTCCATTATGTCTACCGAGTACCGACCATTCCCCCACCCTAAAAGCTACACACAATCACATACAATACAAGGTCCTTCCTTCGTTTTGGTACTGGTGAGTGGTGAATCAGCGCTAATGATATAATCCTAGTCTGTCTTGATGTGGAATACGGTTTGATTTTACAAAGATTTGATGAAATCACAGAGGTTTGACTTATTTTGTTCCGTTTTGCCAAAATAAAATGGGACAGTAGAAGATTCAAGAACCTTGTGTGGAGGAGGAAGATTTAGGGGATCTTCTGATAATGTCACAGATTGCGCACCGTTTCGACTTTACGGGCCTCCAATGTTTGCCCTCTGTACGTTTAAAACTCGGCAACCAGTTTCTTTCTTCGGGACAAAAACGGCATGCTGTCTCACATGAGCGTCCACCTTGCGTCGTTAATTTCTCCGACTCACACGGTAACTGTTTTTTTAAAATGCCGATCTCCTCTTCCATTTGTGATCAGGAATCTGGTTCCCTGAGACATGAACAAGCTCCCTTCTTCGTTGATTCTTCTCTTCTTCCTCCTTCTCCCTTTGATCTTCTCACATTTCTATGGATCCGTCCGACTTGCCGAGGCTGGGAAGCGGAAGATCGAGATCTCCGACGACCTAGACGACGTCATCGACGATGAGGAAGACGAAGCCTGGAAGGAGTGGGGACAGAAATCGTCGCCTGAGACTCAGGAGTTCGATCCGCCTCCGGATATCTCCAAGTTGTCTCCCGAGCAGATCCAAGCGGAAATGGCGAAGCGGACTTTTGCACCGGTCTTCGGGTTCGTGAAGCTCCGGTTGGGCGTTCGCCGTACTAAGGTAAATGACTTCGACTCTCTCTCTCTCTCCCCCTTATCCAGTTGCAATTGCTCCGTAGATCGAAGATACATGTGGTTGCTGTCAAATTGCACCAAATTTCTTTTGGCATTTCCACGAATATAAACCAATTAGTTTTTGCGATCGTGGATATGGGAATTTGAGGTTTTGGTTCGTAATTAGATTGCATCTACATACAACTCTTTAATGCAAACTAGCTGAGTTCCTTGGGATGGGTGTATTTGTTGAAGAGTTTGTGCGTTGTGGTTGAACGTATCAGGATATGGTGCTTGAAACTGCCATGAAATGGAACAAAGTGTTGAAAACAGGAGGAATAGAGGTCAAATTCATGGGTGTTGATCTGAGCACAATCATGTTCAACGTGCAAAATGGGAAGGACGCGATGGAGGTAACCAACCACTTTCCCAATCCAAATATACAATTTTGATTATCCTGTTGTCATTCTCACTCACTCTCTTCCCATGGAAAAATTTTCAGTTGAAGGATTTTATCCTGAATCAACCAGAGGCTTACGAGGTTAAGATAGGAGAACAATCATTCCGACGCCCCGGAGATCCTCCTCTTGAAGAAGTCATTGAGAAACTTCAGGCCGAGGAAAACAAGGATGGAGCTGGTGATGGTACCATGAATGATGAGCAAGCTAAGGATGAGTTATAGTTCTTTCGAAAGATGGCAATTTGATCCATTCCCTGGACCATTGTGGTGAAAGTTTTAGCTCTTTCACAGCAAGTGCAAGATGCAAGCGTCTACCCCAGAAAGTTTAGGTTCCATGTAATTCTTCTTTTACAGTCTCAAACACTTGTCACTTGTCCCTCTTTTTCTACTGTTATAAGAACACGAGTATTAGATCGGTGAATAATGGAGGATTAAAACCCATTGGCCAGAAACACAAAGAAAGGACAAATTCAGTGTTACAGAAGCTGTTGTTTTCCAGATGACAAGAGTGAGATTATAAGTATAGAAAACAGGGAGGAGGAGCTGTATACTTATTTCAGTTTACTACTAAAGGTGGAGAGCTCAATGACCTGAATCCTGGGAATGCCTGCTGCCTCTGCTCTCTCTTTCTCGGTGTTGTATCCCCAGTTACCTATACTCCAATATAAGATTCATTATAATTCCAACTTATGCGAGATAAGGCACCGAAAGAGATAAGGGAAGAAGGCTGAAGAGAAGAGATGACCTAGATATAAATTCCACTTATTTAATTCAGGTTCTTTGATGACATTCTTCAATGTTGCAAGTCGGTCCTCCACGAAGCTGACAGAACATATCCATAGAGATGGAAAGAGGTGAGGGGAGACAGTATAATTGGCAAGCAACAGGGGAAAATGAAACATTGGTGTAAGAATAATAGGCATGAGGAGATTTACTGCAGTGTCAAGCCTTGGTGTTCTGGCTTGTTCTGAAGTAGCTTTAGCACTTCCACCTTCGGCCTGATCAAAGCCCAGATAAAAAAAACGTATAGTGTATGGGAAGAGCAAGACCGTAAACATAACTTGAATTTTAATGGTGGACCTTATACTGACCCTGTACCCAAGCCATAAATCCTTTCTGATGGTATGGTTACCCCAGCAAGTTCTCGCAGTAAAGCATCTGCAAAGCGGCTCTGCAATTTCAAAATCGATAAAGAAAAAACCTCAGCCTTGGAATGTATCAGCTGAGGACGCATTAAACATCTCAAGAGTTCCTACTGGGTTCCGTCAAATCTTTACTGGATTCAGTTGGATCATGTCTTGTTCTTATTAAACATGATAAATAAACGAAATGAACTTGTCCCACCTGTTTCGTGGTAACAATGTATACCCTCGAGCTTGCAAACCTCAGTGCATCTGAAACCCCTGGATAGAATCTGCAAGTGCACTAAGTTTCAAGACTGGACCTCAGAGTCAGAGAAACTGTACAGATGAAGATAGCTCAGAGTACCCTTCTTGATGTAGAATCTTGGCCTTAAAACTTATTGTTTCAATACTCCGGTCCTGAAGAGAAGACATACCTGTTGGCACCCATCCATGTTGTCAAGTCCTTGTCCATCCACTCATCTCTAACTTTTCCAAACAAATCAACCAGAGCATCCCTATCCTCATTCCAAGCTTCCATGATCACCGGCTTTATCTTTGACCAGCTCTCTAATATTACATCAACAGTCAATCCCTCTGCAACCTACAAAACCGAGGGAGAAGTCCAAGGTTCAACTCTGCGACCCTAACTAAAATGGGATAGAAGCTCTTAATCCACACCAATCTAGTGAAGGAAGGTGTGAAAAACATTCTCACTCACCGAAGATTTACGAATAGATGGCATCCTGGATTCTAGAAGTAGCCGGACAAGAAGAAGATTTTCGTAGCCTGTTTCCACCACAGGTCTCACCTACCACGTTAAGGGCCACTAACAAACTTCAATGTGTCAAGATATTCAATAGAAAGGCCAGCATTCCTTCTGAAACAGATAAGAACCTTAACAAATGCATTTCAAGGAATTCTCTTGCGTTAAAGACCTTCATTTAAAACATTCCGGTAAACTTCGACTTGTCTTAAGCAAGTACCTTCTCCCATCCTTAGGGTCCAAAATTCCAAATTTGGCCTCAACGATCAACATTCACATACAAAAAACAGAGAAACGAGGAGATAGGATTTACTATGTGCATCTGATCGACAATCCATTCCTCCAAAGCGGAATCCACTCCGTCAAACAAACCAGGCCATCTCACCTTCGCAGCCTATTCCACAGAACAATTGTAACAATCAACGGATACACAATACTCGAAAGTTCAACCTCAACTTCTAATTTTCAGGAAAAGCATAAGCATAGTCCGAGAAAACAAAAATCTACAATTTTCTCGGCAACCAAACAGAATTGCGAGAGAGAGAGAGAGAGAAAAGAGGTGAAAAGACCTTAACAGCAGAGAGAGAGCTCTCCCCGCAGCTATCACAGAGAACTCCATCAAAGTCCAAAGCGTAGAGATCTCCCATTATCTTCTCGACTTCTCCCTCCCTCCGCCGGCCACAAATTGTGAGACTCAAAACTGGTTTTCCGAGTACCCACCACTCATATACCTCTCAGACCCTAGTAGCCAATTATAATTCGCCACGTTTCGCGATGGTAATGTTAGTTTTTTGTTGGGCCAAACCGGATTCGGTTCGATTATTTTAGATTTAGCTCGGTTTTGTATTAATTTGGATGATAAAATTTGAGTTGAATTGAACCGGGGAAGACCTGATTTTATCGGTTACATCTCACCCGTTTAACCCGCTGTAGCCGGTTACACCCTCGGCTCCTCTTCCCTCTAGAAACCGGTAATTGCCGGTAATATCCATGACCCCCTTTTTGTTCTCTCCGTTTTCTAGTTTTCAGGTCACCCGGCGAGGAATCTCATCATCATCCTCTGGATCCCATCTGATCGATATTCTCTCTTCCGGTATATGCCTCTCATTGATTTTCTGTGAAGTTGTTCGCAATTGTGATTCCTTTTTGGATTGGTTTCGTAATTATTTGAATCGTTTTCTAACTTGCGTTGTGATTAGGTTTTTACAAGTTCTGATGCACATACTGAATTCGATGATCTAGCTGTTCAGAGAGATATGATCGTGTACTAGATTGTGTGATCCTGTTGCTTCAGGATTGGGATTAGGGGGTTGATGAATAAAGTTGTCCGAAGGAATTTGATATATTTGGTTTGTTTGCTTGTGAAACTTCCTAATGATTAGTGATTTGTTAATCCAAGATGATGAAACTTGGCTTAGTTGTCAAAACTTTAGAACCAGGACGCTTAATCTGTTGATCCTGATGATTTTTTGGGGTAACTGCATGCGTTGGAGACGCACTGTTGCATGTAGCTCTTGCTGTTTGTGCATTTAGGCGTTTCCCTTTACAACAGGAACTAGAGGGTTCTTTTAATTTATTTTTTCTGGGTGTTAATTCGTGTTTTTGGTCATAGGAGGTGTGTAGGATGGAAAGTAAAGATGACCACGGGGATCATGCTCCTCATGGAAATGAATGGGAAGTCATCTCCCTTTCTGCATCGGCTTATACTGCTGCTCCCGGTCCTATTAATTTGGAGTTGAAGGATGCTCGGAAATATGATGCTTATTATGAAGCAGAAACTTCAGATACTTTATTCGTGTCTGATCACTTTGTCTTTCCACCTAGTGAGCATGAGAACTTACCCATTGAAACTTTCTTTGCTGAGACCAACAACAATAAGGTGAGCAAGGATGTGGGTTTTTTATTTGAAAGGGATCAAGAGAAGAATACTGATGAAGAGGATGAAACTGATTTGACAATGAAAGGAGCAGACTTGCCTTGTGACTTCCCAATGAAGGGAGCAGACTTGTCTCCAGAGGGAGGCGTAGACCTGCATTCTGATTCTTCAAATCCCCTTAGACCAGCAAAGGATGCCAAAGATGCGGCTTATAACCTCCCATGTGAAGCCTGGTGGAGAAAGAGGGCTGTTTCCGTGTATGCACAGGCAAAAGAGGCGAATACTTTCTGGTCCTTGTTTATTGCAGCTACTGTGACCGGCCTCGTAATCTTCAGTCAGCGGCTGCAACAAGAGAGGTGGCAGGTTTTGCATCTCAAGTGGCAATCCAGCATCAGCAGTGAGGTATCAAACATTACCGCTTGTACTAAAAAAATTCCATCGAGTCATTGAATCCTCAAATAGTTACTGAATTTATGAGCGGATAAACATTCTGAAAAGTATGATCTTCACTGCACCTGTTTAAGCTCGCGAGAAGATTATGCAATCTCTTCCGCGTGTCTAATGCTCGGTAATCTATCGTCCTTTTTTCACACAGAAGATGAGCAGAATACTAGGACCTCTCACACGTTTCAAAGATGCCATTATTGGAGGCAACAGACAAGCTTCATTCATCAGGAGTGGTTCCTTGGGTGTTTAAAGAGAAGAACGATCAACTGAAGAGACAATGCTATGACGACATTCTTCTGCGTGTTTTTGGCTTTCGCTTCTCCTTCCATCTCATACGGCAGGTACATAAATAACTGTTTTATACTATAGGATATGATAATTATTTCATTTATACAAAGGCTAGTGAATGTGTTTGCTCGGCTCTGCCCAAATTAAAAGCTTGGCTTGTGAGACTACCCGCTTCATTGGCTTGTGTCTTTGGGAACGCCATTGCCTTTCTGTCAAAGCTGCTCTGTAGATGTCAAACCTTGTGTTTTCTGGTAACTATGTTCTGTTCTTCTCTGTATTTTTAATCCCTTTGGTCAAGATAATGAAAGCCGCCACTAGAGTTGGTGGGTATGTATTGTGATAAACCCATGAATAGACCGAACTCTATTGTAAAGTTGTGGAGTCTTGTCTTCATTGATATTTGATTAATACCATTGTCCACGGGTGAACTAACTTTATAAAATATTCCATCACTGTTTTAGCCAACTTTCCTTCATTCATCAGATTAAAAATGAATAATTAATTTGAAAACCATGAATCATTAAATTTAATTTACATTTCGTAGAAAACCATAGAATCGAATGATTCATCATATGTGATGCGCAAGGGGTGAGTTTGTGGCATTGTAGTGTCTGGCGCTTTACAACATGCCTAGTATCTCTGATGTGTATGCAAGTATGGTTGGCCCGCTTAGATATAGTGCTCTGTAAGAAAATATATAGAAAGAAAAGAGATACTATTACTGAAATAATATGACACGTCGAGGATAGAGCGATCGCATTTGAAGGATATAGTATGGATTTTTTTCTTGTTTACATCGAATTCCTTTGGCAAAGTAGCAGAATCACACGTAACACACACGAGTGGATAAACAAACAGCAGATGCAACTAACAAGAAACAAAGTTAAGTTGCAATCCACACTGTCTGAAGAGAGAGAGAGAACTCAAAGTCTCTCTCTTCAGCTACTGCTCTTAAAGGGGATAGCTCTGATGACAACTTGGTGGTAGAGAGCCGCAAGCGCCGCTCCGATGAAGGGTCCAACCCAGAAGATCCACTGAAAAAAGATAAACCAGTCGTTAATCGTTGTTATTGAATGCTGAATCTATGATTTGGAATTGAGTTCTTGAGCTTGTAAACACTCACGTGGTCGTCCCAGGCATGGTCCTTGTTGTAGATGATTGCGGCTCCGAGACTTCGAGCAGGGTTGATGCCTGTGCCGGTGATCGGGATGGTCGCTAGGTGAACCAAGAACACCGCGAATCCAATTGGGAGCGGCGCCAGGATCTGCAATGGTAACACACAAAAGCCGCCATATTTCACTCATTGGCTGCAAAATCTTACTCATTTCGATTGTTCTAAGCAATTAACCAGATGTTTTCAGACAGTGCTACAAGCCAGAGAGAGATCCATGGAGAGTTCTACTTACGGGGACGTGAGAGTCACGGGCGTTTCTCTTAGCATCAGTAGCAGAGAAGACGGTGTAAACGAGGACGAATGTGCCGATGATCTCGGCTCCAAGGCCGTCACCCTTGGTGTAGCCGTGGTTCACTGTGTTGGCTCCACCCCCCTGAATCTGGTACTGCGATGGCTGGAACCCCTTGACCACACCAGCACCACAGATGGCTCCCAAGCATTGCATCACCATGTAGTACACGGCTCTGGTTAGCGACAGCTTCCGGGCCAAGAACAGACCGAACGTCACTGCCGGGTTGATGTGTCCACCTAAGGATCCACAGAATCGCAGATTTCAAATCAATCAGCAAGAAACAGATAAAACCCTTTACCACTACCAAGATACAGCAGAGGAAATAGCACAACTTGGAGATGCTATTAATGGCTTTCTCGTCTTACTTCTCGAAATTCAGATCCACCCACTAATGAAAACCCTCAAAAGATTGGGGATTTTTCTTCTACGCCTCAGAATTAGTTCATGCCGAGACAAAGCAACCAGCTTTATTCACACCCAAGAACGAAGATATGCAGAAAAGGCAAGACGCCAAGCGTAAATGCGAGAATTTCAGTTCCACTAGCAACCCAAGACTAAAGAATTTCTTCTTCCTCGACGATTACAAGACACACCCAGAAAAGGCGACTCGAAATCGGAAGCTGAGATAGCTACGGGGAGGAAAGGGATGGCTTACCGGAGATACCAGCGGTGCAGTAGACGAGGGCGAAGATCATACCGCCGAAGGCCCAGGCGATGCCTTGGATTCCGACGGAGGAACACATGCTCGGAGACCTTTTGACGCCCATGACGGTCAAGACGGTGACGTAGAGGAAGAGGAAAGTGGCGATGAACTCGGCGATTCCCGCTCTCCAGAACGACCACGACGACAGCTCTCCCGGCTCGAACAGCGGCGCCGGCGGCGGCTCCTTGTAGTCCTTGTCCGTCTGCGCCGATGTCCCGATCGGTTGCCTCTCCGGGAACTTGTTCGCTCCCACTCTCACGTCTTCTTCCTTTCCTTCCATCTCTCTCTCTCTCTAGATGTTGTTTTGCTTTGTGCAAGAGTGCAGTGAGTGTGTTGCAGAGGAGGGAGAGTGGTTATATATAGCAGGAGAAATGCGCTGTTTGGGATAATAATGCGGAAGAAATGGAGGAAAAATATAACATAGAAGAAAGGATAATAAAATTAAAATAATTAATATTATCTTTTGCACTAATCATACCTATTATTGATTAATGATAGTTTAATAGTGTGGTGGTGGTGGACAGAGTTTCAAATTCCGCTGGCATTATGAATATATAATTATATGATAACACACTAATTAGTGTATCAAATACAATGATTAATCATAAAACTCAAAATAGAACACATGTGGAAGTTGGTTTGAGGATTTGTCATTTTCATCTGTCTCTAAATTTGAAATTTCCCCAAATATTTTTCTTAGAATATCAAACCAATAATGACATAATAAAACTTTATATTAAAAAAGCTAGAGGAGTAACAATTAACAAATGTGCAGAATGGGATAAACCACAACGCCGACCATACACCAACCGCCACCCCGACATCCTGTCAAACAAATTCATTTTTGTTTTCGTTTCGTTTTTTTTCTTCTTCTTGAATTTCTAATTCCATTATTGCATCCTCTTGAAAACGATCTTCACCGCCCCACGCTGTAATTTTATTTTAGTTAACTATTATGACGACATAAAAAAATATATGAACATAGAAATATGTTATTTTTTCGTATAGTAGAATATTCGATGACATTTTTTTTATATTATAAATCATATTCAAAAAATGTAAATTCTCAAGATTATTTATATTTATCACATATTTAACCTAATTAAATATGAAATTTTATGAACATCTTATTCAGCTCCCCACAACAACCATTTCGATCAAAAATTATTCGAAAACCTAATTTGACGTGGAAATTGTTTAAAGAAAAAAAAAAGAGAAAAGATTTCGTGGCCGGTTTTAAACATTGGACTATTATTTCATTCGGGCCAGAATGTTATATGGGCTCAGGTCCATTCCATTAGAGCCTCTAATTCCATCGGAAGGTCCAATTCCTCTTGACCACTCGAGGCCCACCTGCTTGCACCACCCATATAACGACGTCGTTTCGTGATTATGGAACCTTTGTTTTTTTTTTTCTAATTTCCTTAAAGTTTATTTTAAAAAATCCCAACTTTGAGCTCTCCATTCTCTCTCTAGATTTATCTCTTATCCGCTCCCTTTGGCTGCTAATGCCGCCGATCTCCTCCGTCGGATTCGATTCCATTCGCCGCATACCTTCATCCATTACCGTTCTCTCTCTTCCTGGTAATACGCCGCTGTTCGTGTTTCTGTCGCTTCTCCCTCGGATGCCTGCGCGCGCGTGCCAGCGTCTGCCCATTTGATTGCGTTTCTAGGACAGTATCCATATTCTTGTCTGTTTCTGTCGTATTTCCCGCTCCATTGGATCGGTTTTCGATGGCCGAGTCCCCTGTCTCTACTTCCATTTCATGGTGTACTGTTTTCGTTTTTCGGCTCTAGGGTTTTCGCATATTCTTTTCTGATTTTCTCGACCGTTTGTGGGTTTTTGCTCTCCGTCTCCGTTGACTGTTATTCGCCACACTGGAAAAGACGCTTCTTTTTAACGTTCAAACGAAGTTACATTCTCGAGGAAAGAGATGACTGAATAATATATATATATGTATGTATATAATCGCTTTTACTCCATTGGAGTTTCGGGCACCGAAGACATGCTTCTTGATCACCTGTCAGATTCTGGTTTTTCTTGATTACTTGTCAGAGTGACCATCTTGAAGACTTGAAGTTAATTTTCACTTCAGTTACTCCTTTGTCTTTTTCCTCCTCGGGTTTTCTTGATTACTTGTCAAAATGACGATCTCTTTACAGATTTTTTTTACTCCTGATGAATGCTTCCTTGAATGTGTGGAATTAGCAAATACAACAGAATGATTCTTGGCTCGAATGCTCTTCTTCCTGCAATGATCATATCAGCCAAAAACTGAAATCCTGAAGAAGAAAAAAACGTCGGTAATTACCTCACGTTCCTTGGAAAACGAGGGGTTAGATCCCTCTTTGACGAGGCCCGAGCCTGATGAGCTTTCAGCCTCCCCAGTTTTCTCAGGCTGCTGCTGTCCATCAGATCCGAAACGGAACGAACTGGTTCTTGATTCTTTGTCCCTCTTGTCAGAATCCTCGGACAGATCCGACACCATTCCGCCTCCACTCTGAACTACATCTTGAACAAGGTCGGTGTTTTTCCCACGGGAAACAAGCTGCTGGAACTCAGACAACAGCATCGAGATAGTTTTAGTTTCGAATATTACAGCCTCCCTGCATCAAGAACGGCATTGCAGATGCCAAGATTCATCTCCAGTTCTAACTGAAGGAAAAGCGAGAAGAACATGACAAGGTATAACCAGAACCACCTTGCACAGATTAGGTGCCCTTTGCAGGTAAACCATATATGACAATTAACCGGTGCATGTTGACGAACAAAGATCGCTTTCTTGGACCTCAAATCTGGCATCCTTCTGCACCAAGAAATGATCGATACGGGTAAGGTGAAACATTCCATTCCAAAAACCGATAAATTTCCGTTGTGTCCATTGAATACATACGCCGAATAATGTTTGTCAGAAGCCGCTCCCATGACGAGCTTCGAGATCCCGTGCTGAGTGATCAGCCTCACAATCCCTTCCTCGATAGAATCCATTTCAATGAACAGCTTCTCTGCTTTAACCTACAGCCAAAGTAATTGGCTAGATCTGTTCCATGAAATCATCCCATCATTTACCATTATGTATCTAGAAGAAACCTGACATATACCCTGTTCTGTCTGCATATATGGAGGTACTGCTCCAATATCTCCTCCGTCTTCTTCCTTTCTTTCCCCCTGAATACCCTAACGATCTCATCGTCCACTGTACTAGCCGCGAATTTCGCACCCACTTAAAACGATAAGACAGTAAAAAACATTTGGGTCTTGGCAGATTTTTATCAAACGTGAAATGAGAAAAAGAAAGGCAGAGACTTTGGACAGAAAACTGATTTGAAACCAGACAATGTCGGGAGGGTACTTACTAACGGGAATCATCTGGGGAGGTTGATGAACATGGACGATGCAGATCTTGTTGACTTCACCGTTTTGTAATGCCCACATGACAGTGGACATGTTCTTCTCCACGTTCTTCCCAACTGCAACGTGGATTTTTTCCTCCATCAATGGCGGAATGGCTTCCTCCATAATCGTCTAACAGATCAGATTGAGTATTTCGATGAAGAAAGGGTTTAAGACCCAGATGGTCAACCCTCAAACCAGAGACATGAAAGGCTTGAAGGCTTCGCAAAAAAAAAAAAAAAAAAAAAACGACATAAGACAGCGTGAAACAGTTTGTTTCAGAGGAAAAAAAAACATGGCAGTTTTGAAAATGTCGTCGTGAGTTGCATCATTTTGCCCGCTTACTTGAAGGAGAAGCATCCTCTGTTTTTTTTTTTTGGAGTGATAGAGAAGAGATCAGATGCAGTCACGCCCATGCTGTTATGTGTTCCCTCCAATAATCTGGCTCTATTTGTAGTATGTTTTTACTGTCTTGTCCCTGATCGTCAACGGCTTTTGTAACGAACTAACCTGTCTGGTTTGTCCTCTACTTATAAATATAATTAAAAAATATATTTTTTTAAAATAAGCCCGGAGAGAAGAACACATGAATGGTTATAATATAAAATATGTTAAATCATTCGACATCTAATTAGTTGGTTTCATGTAAACGTCGGTCGTTGCATAAAATACTGTTAGGATATTGAAGCAGACATATGATTTGTATCAATATATTTGGTCAGAGTATAAAGCATGCCGTAATTGTAATTAAACTCTGTTTCAAAAAACGTATGCACAACTCTTACTGGCTTCATCACAAATTTACAGCGCACAGCGCAAATACACATCTCGCAAACACTTTATCACACAATATCATATTATATGAACAAAATGATCACACAATTAGAGAGAATTTACAAATATATATATATATATATATATACATATATGCAGGATTCGGAGAGAATAAGATTTTTTTTTAAAATGAAAACTTAGAGGAGATCAAATATATGGTGTCTACGCCATTCAAGAATGGCGGATCGAAGAGGATGGTTGGGGACAAGGTCGGTCTCTGAGAGATTCTCCTTCGTCATGGGAGAAGTACTTCGTCCGGTCCGAAGCCATCTTATAATATTTGCCTTCTCGTATGTGAACCCATCGCGTGCCACGTGTGGATCTTCCATGACCTCCTGCAATTCAACCCCGAAAACAATATTTGTTATATATACCAAATCATTGTAAACTTGTTGAAAGTGGATATTTATGAGGCAGAGAGGTGTTTTTTCTTTTCACATGGGAGATGGGACAGTTGAAATGATCAGGGGGTTGGGTGGATATGGATGATGCATTTGCAAGTGATGATTCGTTTGCAAGATTTCTCCACAGTTCCTTAGCTTCGTCGAGCGCCATGTCACGTTCCCTCATCACTCTCTGCAACAACTCTAAAGCCGAGTTCCTCTTCTCTTTCATCGCTTCCAGCTTTCTCTCGTATTCCGCTATATGGTCGATTAGCATCGACGTTATCTTCGTATTTTTCTCTTTCTCTTTCGCCAAAGCTACCTCGGCTTTTATCCTTCGATCCAACTCCTCTAAATACGCATGTTTGTTATCCTCGGCCTATAATGTTATTTGGCAGATCAGTGTCAGGACCAGCGGCTGCTATTAACTGGCTTGAATTCTTCAGCAGAATCGAAAATATTTTTCAGAAACTTTACCACACAGCTTTCTTCAAGCGCCTTCCATTCAGCTCGCTCACGTCTCATTGTTTCTGCTGACAGGTTTTGATTTAAGATGCGGATTTCGGCCAAAGCTTGTTGGATCTGTTCATTCGCAGTCCCATCCTGCAATGACACAGATCCTCATCAGAAGAAAAGAAAATCCAAAGGAGTAGTAGAAAAAGCTGCATTACATACCCCTGTGCTGGGACAAGACAAGTGTTTATGTTCCTCTTTAACGTTGCTCAATCCTGTTGCACTTACCAAAACATTTCCTCAAGTTTTGCTCGGATTGTCTCAAAGACAAATACTTAAAAAAATCCAACAGAGGTATAAAAATTTTGCCTGGGAACCAAGAAGAAGAGCTATTTCTCTCCCACTTACCATCGGTATCCAAGGACTCATCTAACACCCTCGAGTTCCGTCCTTTCAAAACCCCACCTGTCTCAAGTTCTTGTCCCCGATTTGTGCTTTTTGCCCCCGAAACAAGATTCTGAGACAGTCTGTAGAGTTGACAGATTTTTGGGATCATGCATTGTAGCTTCCCTGCATCGATATTATGGATTATCAGTACTAAGGAGCAACAAATTTGTCCAGTTCTAACGCAGGGGATGACTACAATGAGGAAAAGGACTAGGGTCAGGTGCCAAACCTTGTACAGATTAGGCGTCCTTTACAGGTAAACCATATATGACAAGTAGCAGGTGCTAGTTGCCAGACAAATATGGCTTTCTTGGACCTCAGATCTGTCATTCTCCTACAATATGATGGTAAAAGATCGCGTAAACGTCTACATCCTTTGAGTTATGATAAGAAACAGTCGGTCTCGAGATTTGATTCAGAGGTTCAAAATGAGCATTTTGTCCACAAATAGCATACGTTGAATAATATTTGTCTGCCGCTGCCCCCATTACGAGCTTCCTGGCATTGTGCTGGGAGATCAGTTGCAGAATCCCGCTTCTTATAGAGTCCGTTTCAACACACAGCTTCTCTGCCTTTATCTACAATCAGAATTTGACTAAATGTTACTTCAAGATGAATATCTGTTTTCCTTTATCATCTAATTTGACGTACTCAGCAGATAAACATATAGAAAGTTGATTCAAAACAGATGATATACGCAGTAGAAGTGGAAGCCACCATACCCCTTTCTGATGGCAAATTTGAATGTACTCGTCCAGTATCTTGGCTGTGGCTCTTTGCTTGGCTGCAGCACTTGCCCCGAATCTCATACCGACTTTGAAGATACAACATGGGAAACATTTAAGTCCAACATCTTTAACTAAGGCTCTGCAACTATATACTGGAGAAATCCCATTTCATGTCGATAAGTATAGTATCAAAAGATTTAACGCTGAGACTGGAACTCTGTAAGGCAAGCTTCCTCACTAAACGACATTATGGTATACTTACCAACAGGAATCATCATCATGGGTGGTGGCTGATGAACGTGGATGATGCAGATGATGTTGCACTGGGTGTTTTGTAGTGCCCAGATGAGAGTGTTCTTGTTCTTTGAAACATCCTTCCCGACCGCAACATAGATTTTCTCCTCACTTGACGGCGCAATGTCGTGTTCCCTCCTTAGGCTGCGCACTGTCGTATCAGTCCCATGACCCGATCTTATTGGAAAAGGATCCATAGCACCTATTGCGACACCTCTCTCTTTTTGAATCTGCTATTCGACAAATCAAATTGCTCCAACACCTGAACCAACAGACCAAAACAAAACGAGATTTTCCCACAGACCAAGTTGAAAGATCGCTCCTGGTAACATTTCACTGGGAACTAAAGATTTGACAACCAGACAGCACAAAATTTTAATCTGACAAACAACGACAACAGTACCCCCAAATTCTTCGTACCTGCTAAATTAAGATCGAAACCCTAGCTTCTGCGCATAAACTGAACAAGGCTCTGGATCTCGGCGGATTGACCAGGCAAAAGATATAGCAACACACGAAACTGAAAGCTCCAGAATTTATCGGAAGATGAAGACAGAGTCGAGAGAAATGGCGGAGAACCTTTCCAATTCTTCTTTTTCAAAATCGCGGCATGACTGACTGCTTCCCCCCGCAGATTACTTGACGCATAAGCGTCCTCACAGAAAGGATCCGGTGCGGGCACATCCACTGTTGGTATATGAACCAATAAAACAGGGACGCGTGTCCGGCCACACATCACACGAGAACAGTACACGATTACAAGAAAAAAGGTCATCGCCGTTTTTTTTACCATAATACCCCTGAGGGTCAAACCAAATGTCACCATCAAGAATGTCTGAATTAAGAGCAGAGAGGAAGGACAACCAAGGATGATAAAACTGTAACATTAATATGCATATCTTACAACAAACGACCTTTTTTAAAGTATTAAACTTGCGTTACAAACATCATATTATGTATGTATATATGTAGACATCTCTCAATGACTTTCTCTCTTCACATCTGACAAAAATACAGGGGGTATATATACAACTATTCTGAACAAAAAACAAATATACAGTATGCTCTACGTATGTTTACCGATGATGTGAAAGCCATTCCTGAATGACGGACCGAAGAGCGTGGTTGGGAACAAGGCTGGTGTGGGAAAGCTTGGCGTTTGTCATAGGCGAAGTATCGTTTCCACTGTCCAGCCACGCTCTTATAGCTTCCGCTTCGTACGTAAACCCGTCTGCTGCCACATGCGGATCCTGCATCACTTCCTGAAATGTTGTTCCAAGAACATTGGAAAAAACAAATCATATGTAGTTTACAGACCAATCCTGCAATATCCTTTCTTCAATTATGCTCAGGTGAGTTACCTGGAAAACAGGACAAATGAAGTACGGAGGAGCTATCTGGTGGTGGTTGTTAGGACCGAGATGGAAAGACGACGATCCACTAGAGGCCCTCATGGGTTCAAGTATCCTCCACACTTCCGTCCCAAGGTCTGGACGGTTCTCACTCACCGTCTCACAGCATCTCAGTGCCAATCGAGCCAGCTGCTCAGCCTGAACAAACGGCCAGTCACCCGCTAACGGGTCCAAAAGGCTGCTCAGTTTTCCGCTCTCTAATGCATACTTCACTTCGTTTGTAATCCTCAAGGCTGGCCTCCCGGTCAGCAACCGCAACAATATAATCCCGAAAGAGTAAACATCTGACTTCGGGGTTAGCTCCCCGTTATTGCAGGTTTCTGGATCCAAGTACGCAAAAGTACCCTTGACATCAGTTGAGGCACTTGTTCTTCCATTACGACAAAGTAGAGAACAGGTACCAAAGTCGCTTAATTTGCTGACGAGATTGGGATCGAGAAGGATATTTGCTGGCTTTAGATCACCATGGGCAACGCTATGAGCTTTATTGGAATGTAGAAACATAAGGGCTGAACATATCTCAGTGGCAATGCGCACTCGGTTTTGCCATGATAAGGGCGGAGAATTATCCTTGCAGTTAAGCCGGTCTTCAAGGCTTCCATTGGGAAGAAACTCATAGACAAGACTCAATGCTTCTGGACAGGCTCCAATGAGTGTGATGATATTTGGATGCCTCATTTTACTCAACACATCAACCTGCAATGCAACAAAGCATCAGTCAAATCTCTTTCAAGTGTAGTTCCCCCATGGCACGGAGTGCATAAGAGAAACATAATATTTTTCTTAAAGAAAATGAAACGAAAGAAGAAATTTTGATCTTAATAAATCTTCGTATGTCCTTATAATTATTCGAAGTCATTGTTACCTCCTGTTGATATTCCACAGGACCTTGCGAACTGGTAGGATTCAACAATTTTATAGCCACCTGTGTATGGCGAAGTATACCAATGAAGATACTCCCATATCCACCTTCCCCGATCTTCAGGGTTGGATCAAAGTGATTGGTTGCTTCCTCGATCTCCGAGAAATTAAAGTCAGTGAAGAACTGAGACAACTGTTGGTCTGAGGTCTCGGTTTGATTTCTCCTTAGCTCCTCAGCTTCTCTGAGTGATCTATCGCGTTCTGTCTGGAGCTCATCTTGTTCTTTCTTGAAGCTTTGTAACAACTCTACAGCCGAGACGATCTTCTGTCTCAGCTCTTCTACTGTCCTGTCAGATTCTGCTATTTGGTTCTCAAGCAGAGCTCTCTGATCTAATGCACTTCTGAGTTCTTCCATGACTTCTTCTTGCTCCTTTTTTATCTTTCCAAGTTTCTCTTTTTCTTTGGCCAGTGTAATCTCTGTTTCTTTCCTTCGCTTCAATTCCTCAGAATAGGCAATTTCTGATTGTTTAGCCTGTAGTTATTAGAAAAAAAAAACATCAGACCACATTTTTTTTCTCATTGAGGATCGATGTATCTAACGGCAACCATGAATGGATTAAGCTCTTACATTGATATGCTAGAGAAATAAAACTATTGTCCAGTATGTGAATATATAAATCTGACTAGAAAATCTAGCAAAGCATTCCCGAGCACGATAATACCAAAAAGATATTCAGCATGTTGACATGGCTTTCTCCTTCCGTAAGAAACCTTACCCTTCTGATGGCATCAAGAGCATTTTTTTCAGCTTTCTGGCGCCTGGATGCCTCTCCAAATGCTTCCCGTTTCGAATTCTTGGCATCTGCCATAACTTGTCGGATTTGATCATAAAATCCATCATCTGGGTTCTCGCCCTGAAACAAAAGACCAACCGCCATAGAACTCCTGAGCAACTGAAAATGCACGGAAAAACAAATCCAGGATGCTTTGAAATTATATTAGGATCTACACGAACATACCGGGACACTGCGAGGAGACGAGTGATCAGAATTCACTTCAACTGCACTCGAGCCTGGTGCACTTCCGCTCCCCACAAATTGCCTCAAATGTATATCAGATCCTGAAGGACTGGTTCTCAGAGCTCTCTCCCCCTTGTCAGTATCCAAGGGGTCATCTGATGACCTCCAGCTTTGTCCAGCCAAACTTGCATCGTGCCCTAAATCTTGAACTGAATCATTGCTTTCCACATGAGAAATATTCGGCCGACTCTCAGATTCCGGTGATGAGAGAGTTTGGAGATCATCACTTCCACTGATGGAAGGACGTGGAGATGCATATTCTGACTCACTGTCATCAGCTGTAGCTTCCCTACATTGGTATAATACTAGACATTAGTTGTACCAAGCAGCAACAGACCCATGGTTATCAAATTCCACTTCGAGCTCTAACTTAGGGGAAGCAAGCAAAGCATAAGGATCAGAAGGTAAATGTCTAGAATATCATCAGTTATATATCACATTGAGTCTGTCTTCAGCAACTCAGCTCTTGACAAACCCTTAAGACTAAAACTACTTACAATAATTATGCATGTCTTTCTGTTTGTATGAATCATGTCCAAGCACAGGCATGATGAGAAATGAATGGGCCAAACCTTAAGTAAATTAGGGATCCTTTGCAGGTAAACCATATATGGCAAGTAGCCGGTGCTTCTCGACGTACAGAGATGGCTTTCCGGGATCTCAGATCCATCATTTTCCTGTAAAATGAACATCACTGATTGTTGAGATAATAAGAAACGAACAGCACAGATCGCTGCATGAGTTTACTATGAGATTCAAACATGAATACGCAGAAAGGCACAAACAATTATATCTATGTGCTACATACTTAGAGTGGTATTTGTCGGCTGCCGCTCCCATGACAAGCTTCCTGATTCCATGCTGGGAGATCAATCGCACAATGCCCTTCTCGACAGAGTCCATTTCAATATACATCTTCTCTGCCCGGACCTACAGTCATAATTGACACATTTTAGTTTTCCATAAGAAATTAAAGATGTCAACTTTCCATCATTCATTGATTATCGCATAATCCCTGGCTCCTATTACCATCATCAGAGCCAATAACACAAACACCTCTTCCTAGAATACGCATACAATGAAAAACATTTGTACAATATCACTACGACATATTTAGCAGCACCAAACGTAAACATACCCCTCTCTGCTGGCATAAACGAAGGTACTCGTCCAGGATCATATGCACCTTCTCCCTTTCTGTTTCCCTGTACACCCTGACTTCCTCCTCCTTCACAGCACTAGCTGGGAATTTCGCACCCACTTGGATGATTCAACAAGGAAAAACATTAAAGACAAGATCCAAGAACCCTAAAGCAGAAGGCTCGACCATTCGGCAGATCAACCTCTAAATCAACCTAAGGGTAAAAGTAAATATCTGAAATTTCACATCGGCACATACAACTACAGCTTTATCCCCTAATTGCAGCATTTGTATCATTGCTTTAAACGAGAACAGAGAAAAGAAAAACATTTCATGCACCAAAGGATTGTTTTACAAAATTGGCATTAAGCAACTTAACTGGGTAATACACTTACTAACAGGGATCATCTGGGCCGGCTGGTGAACATGGAGGATGCAGATCTTCTTGCCTCCGGTGTTCTGTAGTGCCCAGATGAGAGTGGATTTGCTCTTTGCCACATCTTTCCCCACCGCCACATAGACTTTCTCCTCGATCAAGCGCGAAACTGGCTCCTCCATTATCTCGGTCCTGTTTGACCTGGATCCTGGACTATCTATCCCATGAAATCTCATGGATCCAACCCTTTCTCCCATTGTCGGGATTGGACTCACCAGAGCCATTGTTAAACCCCTCTCTCTCCCACCCTCGTATTCTCCGAAATCAACAAATAGAAAGTCTCTGGCTAGTGACTCCTAAATCAACAAACAAACAAAAAAAAACAAATGAAAATTCCCGACGCTCAATCCCCCAACGCGAATCAATAAACAAGAATTCGAATTGTTCGCCCAACAATCAGTTCCGATGAAAACCCTAGCGCCGCGGAGAAGCTAAACTAGGATAGCCAAAAGGGTAAAACCTCTATGACTTCAAACGAGTCAAAAGCGACAGAAGAACGATATTAAAGTGATGGAAAACTGAAAGATTCGAGATTTTTCCCGGAAAATGGCGGAACAAAGACAAAGGTGGGACTAAATTACTCCAGAAATTCTCGTCTCCCACAAAAGGTTCCTCACTGTACGTTCAAGATGAAGCTTCCTACCGCCTGATCGATATTAATACTGACGTGGAAGAACTTGTAGAGCTTGTGATAGGAGATCAGGTACGCTCACGTCCACGGTGTTACCTCAAATTACCCTCGGTTGGGTAAAAGTGCGGGTCCACCGTAAAATCGGTACACCAAACTGCAGGAGAATATTGAACGCAGACTCTTCCTGACGTGGAAAGCATCCGCTCTTTCTTCCCCATTGTTCCCAATCTTTACGCTTTTGACAAGGTCACACTGCCTTTTCCAAACGCTCCAGATATGCGATTGTTTGCGTTTGCGTTTCTTTGTAGCGTTGTTTATTTTGCGTTTGATTCATATAAAAAAAAGTCGTTTTTTCCTTGAGATTTCCATTTGCTATAAAATATTCTAACAACATGTAATCGCCAACGAGACAATGGAATGTCTCCGAATAGGAAGACAAGGGCAGTCCTATTATTTTTTTAAGAATATAACAAAATAATCCTGTTATAAAATTTGATAATCTTCATAGAAAATTTCAACTTAGGATATGCTTTTTGGATTTCAGCATCTCTCTATCCATTCGTTGAACATCACATCACAATTCACGACCCAATCTTAAAAAAAATGCAACCATTAATTTGAATCCTTTTGCACGTTTGTTTGCTCCAGTGAGGATAAAATATCGGTTTCAATCACAGATATGTCCAATTTAAAGATTGGAAACTTCGATTAGTCCACGTAAAACTTTTAAACGCAAAATATATATTTATAATAAATATTTTAAAGAAATCCGAAAAACGGCTATATTTAATAATTGACCAATTAATATATATATCCTTGTGAAAACATATCATGATTGACAAAAGAGGAAGGGGCCAGGGTCATGGATGAATATGGGCCGGAAATATTAGCTCATTGAGCCCAATATAACCTTAATTGGGCTATTTTAATGTAAGACCAAGTAGAGGGCCCACAATGTTAAGCCCAATAGAATTAAGGGGCTCATTCCACCTGCGCAACGGAGGTCCAGACCCCAAAGGGTGAGAAACGTAACGTGTGTCACGAGTTTAGTAGATTAATCGGAAATCATACGAGTGCTTAATTACTCAACCACTTGATATAATTTTTCTTATATTATACAATATATATATATATATAGTACAATCGTTTCTGCATATAGAATACAAAAGATCACAATCATAATCTCTTGTTGTTTCATGAAAAATACCAAAAACGTATGAGGCCCACTGCTTCCATCCACTGAGGTTTTATATACACATGTGTGTGTGTGTGTATATATATATATATATATATATATATATATTTAGATTGTTGGGTTGGAGTTGGTAAGGAGGAATCTCTTCGTTAGATAGTTATTTTGCCTTATTATGATTTTTTTTTGGAATATTACAACATTGGTTGACAGTCTTAAAATAAGATTATCATACGATATGCATACATTAGTAAGTTGAGATGTTTTAATCATAGTTTTTATTTTATTCCTTCTTTTAGTATGTTATAATTCAACTCTAGGGTTACTTTCACACTGAATTTCTTATAATGTCGTGTACGTACGTTGCTGATATTATTCCATTTTATTCTATCTGTCTCTCTCATTCTATATATATATATATATATATATATTAATGTGTGTGTATATAGATTATTGAGCTTATTATATACAAAACTACAGGATTGGGAAGAGAAGTTTATATATATATACACACACCAACATATGAGAATCCGTTGTTACGTCGCATTTATGTTTCTCAATCCGAAATGCGATCATTAGCCAAATGACATCAACTTGTTGGTTGGCCGCACTGCTTTTTTTTTTTCGTGGACCGACGAAGACACACAATCATTATTGAGATGACATTATTAGAGGAATATTACAACATAACCGTCCGGTTATGATGTTCTAATTTCAACAGATTCTTACACTGTAAGTTTCTTAATTTCACGTTATCATCGTCTGGTTAACGTGGTTTAATCATTGCACCCTGATGAAATTAAATATATACTTATTTTTTCGCAAATATAAAAAAAATTGATATATTAAATTTTGTAAAAGGCTCTACCTTGTATCAAACTATCAGCAAAAAAAAATAAATTTAATTTAATGATAAAATATCAAGCCTTCACATTTCCAATAATTAAGTTCCAAACATCAAACTGTGATTTATGTATCTGATTACTAATATAGTTTCCTCTTAAACTTTTTTCATTATATAATCCTATTAGTATTATTTGTTCCACATCAAAATTTTATGCTAATAACTAGTTGCCTTTAATATTAGCCCCTTATATATATATATATATATATATCCACCAGATTCTTCATGTTTAATTTTTTACAAATCTATTTGATTTAATTTTTAAGATTATAGATGAGAAATGGTACTGTGGGCCCGGATTGAAATGATGGGGCCCATGTCTGCATAAAAGCCCAACTGCTTCCTTACGTCATAAGGCACATTCGGACAGAGAGACAAAAGGGCTTCTGGGTATCCCATAAGCATCCCGCGTTCGTATACCTTCGTCCTTTTTTTTTGTTTCTTCTTCCTCTTCATGCGTATGTCGTATTGCATATATATATATATATATATATATATATATATATATGTTTGTTTTATTTATTTTCACATTTCACAATTTTTTTTAAAAATTCTCTCGGAGACAATAGAAAGTAAATATAGGGCACTACCTCTTTATATGATTTTGAAGTTAACTACCAATAATAAATTCATACAGTTTCGAAACACGTACGTATAAATAATAATTGCAATTTCTATATCGTCAACGGACGTGAAAAATAATATCACGATCACGATGATGTATCGTTTTCCGAACGAGGGCATAATTTCGTTTGGTTGGACTCAATTACTTATATAATGGGACATAATAACCACTAGGTGCATTGTATATTATATATACATATACATATATATATATATATAATAGCATATATGATATGGGGTTGGTTTGGTGGTCCAAAATAAGGGGTCGACGTCGTTGGATAGCTCTGCATACTGCTTCATTATAGTAAGTGTCAAAAGATCATAAATGGTATTTGACAAGTGTTGTCACGAGAAACAATTTCCTCCTCATAACTCCTACCTACGTTATCTTATGTTATATTGTGAACCCGGTTTAATCCGGTCTGGTTTGGAAAAATTATGCATTTTCATGAATATATTTATATTTGAATTCAACATGATACTTGAGCCTGGTTATTTGCCATCGGTTTTTTCAATAAAATTATTTATAGATCAATTGTTACTCGAAAATATCTAAAGTTTTAATCATATAGTTTTCCAACGTTCACAAAGCACACGGTTTACGTGTGCGTGTATAATTAAGTGGTGCCATTTTGGTCCAACCTTCTTTTATTATCTCGTACATCTCTCTCGTCGTATCTTTTAATTAACCTTGAAATTCATTATTTTTAAATTATTTTGGGTACCAAATGACCATTCTATGGAGAAAAAAAAAGATATTGTATAGTATGGAGAATTTACGTGAAATTTTCACGTGAACCTCATATATATATATATGTATATATATTTGCAGTTGCACCGACGATTGTTAGATAATGGTAATTAATAACACAAAAATCACCATACCAACACTAACCTTTTTTACGTCCTTTTCCTTGTTGTTTGCATGCTATAAGACGTAAAATACATACACACACGCATATATCAATATATGTATATATACATATACATATACTTTTTTTTTTAATGTGAGTGGGGTGCGTTGGAAGCGAGTGCATGCCATTTCTCTGCGCGCGCACACACATATCTATATTATATTTTGTTGAAGTTAACATTGACTTTCCATTTTGGGTACGGGTCCATAGAGAAATTTACGGAATTGCCACTCCCGACACATCCGTCACCTAGGTACTCACTGCGATACCTCAGCTCCATGTTTTTTTTTCCATTAAGAAGAGGACCATTACCTTCAGACACTTCACCAAATCCCCACGCCTTATTTTATTTCTGCTCTCTCTCTCTCTCTATATATATATATATATATAATATTATGAGATGTTATATTATATTTAAGATTTTAATTATAAGAAGATATTATATTTTGATTTAGATTATCTATTCTTTTTATTTTTCATAAATTTATTCGATAATTTATATTTGATATGATATTAAGAGTAAAAAAGTTTCTTCTGGAGACATCGAATCTCTATCATTCATAGTTTCTTTTTTTTTGGTAAACCATAGTTTCTTTTTTATTTCCTGTTATCTAGAGCATTTTATTTATTTTAAATAGAATATTTTAAAAAACATAATAAACAATTTTTTTTAAAAAAAATTTATGGTGTTAAAAAGATATTATCTTAGATTTAGATTTTATTATAGAAAGATACTATGTTAGATTTGGACGATCTCTTTAATTTCTTTTATTTCTCCTAAATTTGTTCAATAATTAGTATTTAAATAGTTTATTATTTGTTCTAATTAATAAACATATATTTTTTTTAATCTCTCTCTCTTTATATATATATAGGCGCACACATTTATGTGAAGACACTAATTCGCATGTATATGCAAATTCGTGGCAAACAGTTATGGGTGAGACTTCCGATGCTTGCACTTGAACCAGACAGATGACTCTCTCTCTCTCTCTTTTTTTTTTTTTTCTTTTGTCGTCTGAAAGATGCAAATCATTACACTTAGAACCGTGTTTTTTATTATGGGTTTTTGTCTTTTTTAGTATATACTCTTAAATCTGGATGCCAAATCGTCCATTTTTTTTCCCAATCCCAACCCGTTTTTGTTTTTTTCCCTCTAACATTTCAGGGTTTTAGGGTGAGAGAGAGAGAGAGGGGTGTAGTATATGACACTTCACCTCAATATCCACCCTCGTGCTTCGAGCAGTATTCGACTCGACTCGACTCGTGAGTATAGTTTCAGATGAAGCAAAGCCCGCAAATTTAGCGAAGGGTTCAGACAGAATCCGGAAATTTAAGGGGTTTTTTGTTTGTTCTCGAGCAAAAAAATGGTGGTCGAACGCGTTCGGTGACGTTTCAGAGCTTGCATTTCGGATTCCCCTTCTTGGGAAAATCGAATCGGATTCTAAAGGTACGATCTTTATACTTTTATTTTTCTTTTTTTGGGATAAAAAGACTCGCTTGCTTCGAAAGGAAAGGTATCCAATGTAATGATGTGGTTCAGATTAACGGGTGTAAACCCTGCATGAATCCATCCTCCAAGTCTCAGTTGCAGTGTGTATAAGACCTGTGGAACTGATGAGTCCGACTAGATGCCGATTCGTGTTTAAAACACGTTGGTGGTTCCGACAGGATCCTTTGCTTGTTCTTACGGGTTTCTATCTGTTTATAGGAATCGTGAATCAAACCTCTAGCTTCTGCAGTTCGTATTCTGTAGGTGGAGGGTTCTTGTTAACTCGGAAGTTGAAGATTTTCTGACCCAGTTCAGGTTTTCGCGGAATTCGCGTTTCTTGATCTTTGTCTGTTCATCCAGAGTTGGTTCCCGGTGAAAAAAGATCGCGAAACAGAGGAGGATAACGAGAGAGAGCGCTGAATCTGAATGTTATGGACCAAGATTGTCGGAAAACTCTTGCAAGGGAAAGAACAGATCGGATAGGATGTGCCTGGGTGTTTATAAGCATGTTTGATTTCCGGGGTGGAGGATCTTCTCAGAAACTGTTGACGGACAAGAAACGTGGAAGCAAACGAATCACAGGTCTGTCCTCCCAAAAAAAAGACATGTATCTGTGTTAATGTTGAACTCATCTGCGAAGCTTTTCTGGTGACTAATCCGTGCAGGTAACTGTACTTTCATGGCTAAGCATGACAAGCCGACTTGTTCTAGCGACAACTCTCAAGAACTCCTTGTAAGTTTTGGTGTCTTATTACTCAGATTGGTTTCAGAAAGTGAACTAAGGAGCTGATTCAGATTGTAATTGTGTCTCAGGAAGGAGAAGATGGGCTGCTTGTCAAGTCGGAGACTGGTACTTTGAGTGTGAGGACACTCATTGAAGAGGAAATGTCTGCCAAGAAAGAGAGAGAGGATGATGAGAAAACACAATGCAGAGGAATTCGGAGGAGAAGGAACAAAACCTGCAGTAAAAGCCATGACAGTATCAATGTTCCAGTTGCTGGTGATGATTCAGATGACCGGTCTGTGAGCAGTCTCCCTGAATTTACGAGCTGTACGAAGAATAACGACGATTCTGAAGAAAAATTCAGCGAGGTTATCAAGCGGTTGATAGCTCAGAAGGAAGGCGAGATCCAGAGCTGTAAGGACCTGTTAGGGGCATTTCAGGGTTCGGGTTCTAAAGAAGAACCTAGTCTGCCATCGATGGAAGATTCTCAAAGAACGGAAGAAGAAGAAGAAGAAGAGGATCCCCGGACAGTAGAAGAGCCTATAGTCTCCAAACAAGAGGTCAGAATTGGGCACAAGAAACACCGATTCTTGAACCGAAAGGCAAAATCACCAGAGATGAGCTCTTCAGATCAAGGTTGTACACCTCAAAGTCCAAGAACCATCGTCATTTTAAAACCCGGAACAAATAGCTCAGATATCGGCTCATCACCTAGATCTCGTTCTGCATTCAAGAAGTCCTGGAACGGTTCTCGCTTTCTTCTCAGTATTATCAAAAGAATACTGAAATCTGCTGCAGTCAAGAAGGAGCCATGTGATGATCTCCATGTCCATGATGATGGTGCTTCAGAGACAGTGTCTGATCTGAGTCAAAGCTGTTGCCTGGAAGAAGAGGTACATAGAGAGGACACTGCCCACACAAGCAAGGATTCGAAGAAAAGCATGTCTAGTATTTATAACGCGGCCAAGAAACACCTGTCTGAAATGCTAGAAAACGGAGATATCATCGATGTGAATTTACGAAGCAAAGAAGTACCGAGAATCCTTGGGAGGATTCTTTCTCTTCCTCAGTTTTCCTCACCGGCAGCCAGTCCTGGACGGACCTCATTAACCCACACGGCAGAAAAGCCGACAATTCAACCATGCAGTTCAGATGGTGATTACTCTGAGACACATGGATTGAGTTCAGATAAACTGGTTGATGAAGATTCAGACAAACACCATGAAACAGTATCTGTCATTGATACCCTTATCTCAGGAGGTGATTCTTTCTTTTTTCCTCTCTTGATCCATTTCTTTCCAAACCAAGTATAATTTGTGTGTTTTTTTTTTTGACAAAACGCTTTCTGGGTTGATGAGTGTACTCTGCAGGTGATTCAAGCACTCTAGTGGAAGCCGACACCATGGAAGAGATTCAGATAACAGATGTTGATGAAGATGCATTAGAATGGCGAGACGAAAATAGAGACAAGAAGCCCTTGAGACAGGTAAGATAGCTTGCATTTATGACAGATGATACATCGTTCGTTCTGGCGTTTGTTTGAAGGAGGATCTCATTATCTTCCTGCTTTATTTCAGTTCCACGAAACATTTGACGAGGGGCAATCATCATCTTCCCCACCAGAGTCGTCACCAAACTCTTCAGTTAGAATGACTGATTGCCAAGAAAGTGCAACTGATGTTCCCGGAAAGTTAAGTCCCGTGTCTGTGCTTGAACCACCATTTACCGATGATGACATGAGCCCAAGAGGAAGTAGAGCTCGTTCAGGTATGCGTATCTCAGTGTTATTCTTTTCGATTTTTCTTCCGAAATTTTGGGGCTTAACCTTGTTTCTTGGCTTTACATAACAGGTGAAATGCGGATGCAACCACTGTGTATAAGATTTGACAGACCCGATTCTCCGAAAGCTGATCAAGACAACGAATCCAGAACTAGTGTGGATGACAAGGAATCAACGCTTGCATTCGTTAAAGCCGTGATAAAAGCCTCGGGCTTTGACTGGGAAAAGCTTTGCATGAAGTCGTGCCATACAGACCAGCTTCTCGAGCCAGATTTGATCAATGACATAGACTTGTGTCCTAACCAACTCTGCAATGACAAGAAGCTCCTTTCTGACTGCATCAACGAAGTTCTGATGGAGTTTTGCGGGAATGAATTCGGCTCTGGCCCTTGGATTTCATTTGTCAAACCAACTGTATGGATCATGTCAGACGTGGAAGATCTTGTGGAAATGGCAGAAGAAGAGGTCTACTGGCATCTCCATCCTCTACCGTACCCTCATACCCTGGACCAAATAGTGGGTAAAGACATGGCCAGAACTGCAAGCTGGATGGACCTTCGGTTCGATACCGGCAGTGTCGGTAGGGAGACAGGTGAAATAATCCTGGACGAGTTATTGGAAGAGAGTATTAGAAGCTTGAATAGATTTGGTCATACTTGTACATGCTGACACATCGACGTCACCACTCTTTGCTACCGTTGGCAGAAGGTCTTCTGCTACCAAGAAAGGCATTCATGGTGTTCTGTACAGTTTTTACATCCACTGGAGAATAACGTGGGCGTGACAGTTATTGCCCTTCTCTTTCAGAGATAAAAACCAGAGCTCCGAGGACTGAGGAGAGTCTTTCTCGTGTTTCTTCCATGCTTTGTTTTCCATTTGGCTTCTGTCTGGAGCCATGAGGGTTTTGAGTTCAGTTGTGAAAACTAGTTCTACGTTTGTTCCATCAGTAAAATAAACCAGAGTGATTTTTTTTTTTGTCAGTTTCTCTGATTCCAATGAGAAAAGAAAATTACCCGCACACGGTAGATAGAAACTACTGTATCATTACGATCTCAATGGACGTGCCTTCCACATCTTGTCGTCTGCTTAGAGACGGGACGCAGTCCATATGGAAAAGATAGAAACGGCATGCATTCCACGACATTAGAGATATCGTGTGGCTGGCTGCAACTGGGGGGCAGGTAGGTCACGTGATTATCTTCAGCGATACATAGGAAAGGCGTGACGGAGGCACGTGACCGCCTCACACGTTTTACCCCCAATCTCCTCTCTCCTTTTATCGTTCTCCCACCCACACACGCCTCGTTCGTGCCAAGCCTTAGCCTCACACACACTTGTGTCGCAGACACGCTCGAGCCCTAACTCACCACACGCGCGAACCTTCGTCTTCCCCTCTCTAGCTGCACTCTCCCTCACGCGCCTCTTCCCCGGCCGTTTCACCCGCCGGAGATCCTCCGGCTTCCTGCTTCTTCGTCTCTTCTCCGCCGCCTCCGGATATTTTATGCAGATCGGCGCCGGTATTCGGCTCCGATTGCTGGAGCGCGCTAGGGTTTGAGAAGGTTCGCCGAGAGGTCGGAGAATTGTCTGCGTTCTGACAGTAATTCGATAAGAATTTTTGTGGTCTTTGAGGGAATTGCACCATAGACTGAGGTCACCAAAGCAGATGATCTGATAAGGTACTTGATCTGCTTGAAGGAACGGTTGTGTTTGCCTTGTTGGTTAGAAAGCTTTTCAATTTCTTGTCTGGAGATGCAATCGAGGGGGAAAATGCTGATTGTATGAACAATTCTTTTGTTTTTACTCGTAGGAAGTCCCGCGAACTTTAGGAAGTAAGACAGAGCTTCTTCGCATCGTTAGAGAAGATCAATTTACTGATTTCTGGCGTTCTCTCGACTTTCCGGGTAAGTGATATGCTGGAAGGAAGGAAGATCAGTGAACGATTTGCCACATTGTTCAGTAGGTGCGACGCGTGGGATATTCGAACCACAGGAAGTAGAGATGGACTGTTCATACAAAGACAACAGTGTTGGTGAGTGACAGAGGTCGGTCGGTTGGATTAAGAAGAGGAACAATGGCGACAGATATGCAGAAACTGATCGGAACCAGTGAAGAGGATGATGATGAGGAAATGGATTTGGATGTGAAGGAGGAAGATGATGGAGATCAGCAGAACAGAGGACGGCATGCCGTTCAAGGCAGTTGTAGTAACGAATTCATGCATCAACAGTCATTCCAAGATCAAGTAAGCACACCTGGCGGAGGAGGAAGTCGCAGAAGCAGACCGCTTGAAGAGAAGGAGAGAACAAAGTTGAGAGAACGCCACCGAAGGGCCATAACTGCAAGAATCCTGGGAGGGCTGCGGAGGCATGGGAATTATAATCTGAGGGTTAGAGCTGATATCAATGATGTTATTGCAGCTTTGGCCAGGGAAGCTGGGTGGGTTGTTCTTCCAGATGGAACTACTTTTCCATCCAAATCCCAGGTACTTATTTCTCCCTGGCTATATAATGTGTCTGTATGTTCGAGTTGTATCAGTCTTTCTTTCTTTTTTTTTTTTTTTTTTTGGGGGGGGGGGGGGGGGTGTTTAGTTGGCCCAAATCTATTATGTTAAGGTTTCTGTTGTCTGAGACAATTGTTATGGACCAATGCTCCTCTGTAGTTTAACCTAAGAGTCTTCTTGGAAATGGTGTTATAACGATCTGTAGGATGTGAAAGAACAAAAAAGTGTTATAACGATCTGTAGGAGGTGAAAGAACAAAAAAGTTTGTTGTAGTCAGACAGGATGAGTTTGCGTTGATTGTCTAGTATTTCTTGTGTAAGTCAGAAGAACATGCTTAGATGGCATAATCCTCATGCATTTGTTCGCATGAACTATGATCCATCATTTTACTTTGTACATTGTTTGCAACGAGGTTGCAAAAGTTTGCTTGGAGTTATATATTCTGATTTATTCATTTTCAAAATGCTTAAATCTGTTCTCTAATGGTATTCCGGCTTGAACATTTTAGGGGACCAGACCTCCTGGTGGTTCTTCTACAGCAGGTGCTTCATTATCTTCCCAGATGGCATCGCAACAGACCTCACCTCCTGCCCTTAGAGGATTATCGCCTGGATTCAAAAGCTCAGGAGAGTTCAATTCATGCCATATGAAAGGTGTTTTTGTGCCCACACCATCACCTTATGATCTATCCCCAACCGGTATAACTCAACCTGCAGAAATGGTTAGCAGTGTAAATAAGACCGAGGCTCTCCCTCATGCCGGTAGTACCGTTGATGCTATCAATGCCAAACAGGTAATGAAGAGTGACTATTATCTGGACAAAGATTTTTCCTTTTCTTTTAGGGCAGTGTATTGTCATATACAATAATTTTCTTTGCATTGCATATTTGATCTCAATCAGTAGCTAGTGCCTTTAGGAAAATTATTCTACTGGTAGTCACCGGAGTATCAGGAAAGAATATCAAGAGAATAAAACAGCACAAATCTTACTACTAGGTTTCAGAATCGATCTTTCTGCCTATGCTTGATTTTGTCTCTATGAATGCATGTTCTAAATCGGATGGTTTTTCCTCATGTTTCCTGTATTGTAGGTGTCTGAGATACCTCGAAATCTGACCGAGCAAGATTTTTCTGGAACTCCCTATGTTCCCGTTTATATGATGTTACCGGTGAGCATCTCTGCTGTTATCCTTAACCTAGCCGTATTTTGAATTCCTCTGTTTTCTATTAAACAAATTGCCTTTTTTAAAAAAATTTGGCAGCTAGGGGTTATCAATATGAAGTGTGAATTGGCTGATCGAGATGGATTGCTGAAGCACTTGAGGACGTTGAAGTCAATCAATGTAGATGGAGTTAAAGTGGATTGCTGGTGGGGAATAGTCGAGGGAAATTCCCCTCAAGAGTATAACTGGACTGGATATAGGCAGCTTTTTCAGATTGTTCGAGATCTTAACCTTAAGATACAGGTCTGTTTTATACCTTCATAGGCATGCACTTTTGCTTTCGGGAATCTTCTTGTTGCCTTCATTTGTGGGGTTGCCTTGAAATATTCCAGCTACTGAGCTCCAGAAGCTTCTCAAGCATTCTTTTTTTCTGTCTCAGGTTCTGATGTCCTTTCATGAATGTGGAGGCAACGTTGGTGATGATGTTTGTATTCCACTTCCTCATTGGGTTGCAGAAATTGGCAGAAGCAATCCAGACATATATTTCACTGATAGAGAGGGAAGGCGAAATCCAGAATGTCTTTCTTGGGGTATTGACAAGGAACGGGTTTTCAGAGGCCGAACTGCTCTCGAGGTATACCTGATATAACTATTGACCATCATGCATTCATATTTGTTGAGTTAATTGATTCACTTGATTCTGCAATTATGCCTGATGATCTTCCGCAGGCATGCCATTATGGTCACTATTTCTTATGTTAATACATTGATCAAATGCCACACTTTGATAAGCTCAGATCCGACCTGATCTAAACTCTTTCTGTAGTAATAAGAGTGACAAAACTATTGTATTGTATTTTTATCGCGTTTGCGAGAGAAAAACATGCTGCCTAATTTTTCCAGTCCCAAGTTCTTCTTGTTATTGCCATGGCCATGCTTTGTTTTTCTTTTTCTACTTCTTTAGCACGTAGAGACTTCAACTAACAAAACCCTGTAACATTTCTTTATAATTTGTGGACTTGTTTTAGGTATACTTTGATTACATGAGAAGTTTTCGGATAGAACTTGCGGAGTTCTTTGAGGATGGTATAATATCTATGATTGACATTGGACTAGGCCCCTGTGGCGAGTTACGGTATCCTTCTTGTCCAATAAAGCACGGTTGGCGATATCCAGGCATTGGAGAATTTCAGGTGTTTTTCTTCACCATCCAATTTTTACTATTCTTAAGATGAGACAGCGTCTAGGTCTGCTTCAACGTGATGACTGTTCCATTTTTCTTGGCAGTGTTACGACAAGTATCTCTTAAAGAGCTTGAGGAAGGCAGCAGAAGCAAGGGGTCACCTGTTTTGGGCTCGAGGGCCCGATAATGCTGGTTCCTATAATTCCCAGCCACACGAAACTGGTTTCTTCTGTGACGGGGGTGATTACGATGACTTCTATGGGAGATTCTTTCTGAAATGGTACTCACAGGTTTTGATAGATCATACTGATCGAGTGCTTTCTCTTGCTAAATTGGCATTTGAAGGTACCTGCATTGCTGCAAAGGTGATTATTCGATTTGAACAAACCGACAAGCAAGGTTTTTGAGATATCATTTCGGATCTCTTCTGTGGGTTGATTTCAGCATATTTGATGTTTTTTTTTAATCGGTGAACAGCTCCCAGGTGTCCACTGGTGGTACAGAACGGTGAGCCACGCTGCTGAAATAACTGCTGGGTTTTACAACCCTTGCAACCATGACGGTTATGCTGCGGTTGCGTCTGTACTGAAGAAGCATGGAGCCTGTTTGAATTATGCACCGGGAGAAGTGCACGTGGTAAACCGTTCTGAGGATTTTTCTGGGGCGTTAGCAGAACCCGAGGCATTAGCCTGGCAGGTTACAATTTATGATTTCCTTCCTTCTTTCCACTTAAACATGTCCCTCACCAAACTCGGATGGATAAGAGGGTATCAAATCGCAGGCGTCGAACGCGGCATGGGACGCTGACATACCAATCGCTAGAGAGAGCGCTCTACCTTTCCATGACGGAGGGTATAACAAGATACTGGCAAGTGCCAAGTTTCTGAATGATCCAGACAGAAGGCATGTGTCTTGTTTTGCCTACAGTAGACTCAACCCAGCTCTCATGGAGGCTCAAAACCTTGTGGAATTCGAGCGGTTTGTCAAGAAAATGCATGGTAGAATAAAACCTATCCACCCCCATTGAGATCTGACATCTATCTTTTGAAATGTTTAATACATATGAATCTAAGATGTGGTTTTTGTTATGTTTTTTTTTTGTCTCATCAGGGGAAGCTGTAATGGATCAACCTCTCTGACATGTTTGCGTGATCTTGTCAATGGGAAGTTCATTGTTTAATCTAAGGCTAGAATCTTTCTTTTCCCTTGTAAATCGCCGGTAGACAAGATGACCAAAATCCTTTGGATAAACCCGTCTGATCTTTTTATTTTTCTTGTTACCCATAACATGTATCTAATATCTCTACTTTCAGACGAAATTATATGGCAACGGATCTACAGCCAATAACAACAAAAATATCATCAGTCGGAGCCTTTGGTATGGAGGAACACACCATTAATCCAACCGCCGTTTTCCTCGCAACCTCAACATCGACCACCACCGTGTAGCAATCCCTCCCGATCACAAAGACTCTGTTTCCGACGGCCACAAGCCGACATGGTTGCCTCGTCGCAAGCCTCCCAAGCCTAACCCACTTCCTCGTTTCCTTACACCACATTGTCAGCGTAGTTCCGAAACTCTGATCCAAAACGTAGAGATCGTCGCCCACCACAACTGCTGGACCTCGAAACCCTGATGCCATCTCGTCATCCACTTGTTTCCAGGTACCGGTCGATGGCTCGTACACTGCTGCTTGCACATTTGAAGTTTTCGAATACCCACCACCATGAACGTATATTCTCCCATCCATCACAAATGAATCGTCAATCCCGGGGACGATGTTTGTGTCTGAGAAAGATTCCCATGCCTTCGTGGAATCTTCATATACATCCCACGTTTGTGGAATGCTCGGCTCGAGCCCTACACCACCGATTGCATACATCTTTCCGTCCAATGTTTCACATGTAAAGTAGCACCTGAAACATGAGCATCAAACTATAGATATACCGGACTGAAACTTGTGCAGATGAAGAACAAACGATGATCTAAAAGTAAAGGAGAAAGGGAAGGGGCATTTTACCGCTTGGTCGAAAGGTGAGGAATTTGGTCCCAAGTGTTCTTGGCAACATCATAGCAGTATGCATTATGAGAAGCATCTTCTGACCAGCCACATCCATCCAGCACATACAGTCTCTTACCCATTGCTGCAAAACCCATGCCTTCTCTCATACATAAGTGAGGTGGATGTTCGTGAATCCTTCTCCACGATCTTTTTGATGAGTTAGGGTTTAGGGCATACAAATAAACACGGGCCGATGTGTCACGACACAATGCGTATATCCAAGATTCAGCCAAGTTGCCCTTCTTACGGTGATCATACCACTCCTCACTACACAGTAAATCTCTCCATCTTCTGGAAACACACTTCAGCCTCGTGTGATAGCATCTAGGAACTCTGGCCAAGCAGGAAAGAGATATGTCATCCGGAAGTCCATTTATGATCGGAATTTGTTTTTCTTCTGATTCATCTACACATTCGGACTCCTGTTCTGTACGTTCCATTCTTGAAATTCATCCACCAAATGAGACCCTATAAAGCAAGAGACACAAATAATTTTCAGAAATCACTATTCCTAAAATTACTTAGAACTCAAGTGACTTGTAATGTAGTTTGGAATTGGATTGGGTTCAACGTCCCTGACAGATTATTGCCTACTCAATTCATTTCTATGACAACTTTCGAAACAGAAAAAGAGAGACGTTTCACTTCCAAAGCTCAACAACGACAACGTCTTTCTTGAAATTACAAAACATTCAAAGGAAAATGAAAACGATGGCAGACAAAAACATTCAGAGAAAAATAAACTACGATCAAATTCAAACCGCCCTATATCAGTGCTGACAACTGGACCTTTCTAATTTCAGTGGCTATTGAAATTTTGTTCCCTAATTTCAGATTTGGCACCCAAAGTGTTTGGAAGCCAGGAAAACAGCCAAAACAAAATCTGGGAAAAGCCGAGAAAAGAAGAGCAGACAACAGGGCAAGCAGAAAGAAGGCAAAGACTCTATTTTGGGAAAATTCTCGGTTGATCATTCTACTCCATTGTGATAGCTTATATACTAATCATGTACAGGTGGCAATAACTATACAAGCAGAATTGTAACGGTAAATTCAGCTTACAAAACTCCCGTTCGTGTGTATCTAACACCTAACATTGACGAAAAATCCGAGTTTTGCTACTGAATTTGTGATCGATTCACAAAATCCTTCCATGCCAGATCACAAAAGTTCCAAATCCGCAGGTATTCCGATCTAAACGAGACATGCCAAGGAACCCTAGATCACAATGCGCCTCCGATCTGACTTGAGATCGCGACAGACAAATCTAAACCCTAAGATAGATACAGGAATCAAAAATGATTGTAAATTGAACAAAACTGACTTGAGATCGCGAGGAAATTCGGCAGAAACTTACCTGTCGGACAAATACCAAGGGAGAGCTCTCTGTTATTTTGTTAACTCTCACACGGCGAAGAAGAAAAAGGTCGCATCTCGATATCTTATATTTGCAAGAAGGCCACGCCATTTCGCATTGCATCTCTTTTTTCTTTCTTGCTTCTTCTCCCTATATTTTGCCCATAGGTCCTCGTACTATCTATATTTCACAAAAGAGATATTATATTTTTGTTTTAATCTGAAACACCCCTGAACCTCTCATGAGTCATGTGTACGTACATGCATACATACATACATACATACATACATACATACATACATACATACATACATACATACATACATACAATGATACATACATACATACATACATACATACATACATACATACATACATACATACATACATACATACAATGGGTCCTCTTAAGATATTTTGAGATGTCTTCTTCCCAGTCTCTCGTCAAATGGGAGCCTAGCGCGTGTATTTCACTCTCTCTCTCAACGCAGCATCTTTTATAATATCATCATCTACATCAGTGGAGAGATCATACAAAGATTACTTGGTGTTTGTATCAGTTCCAGAGATCTTTCTGATTGAAGATGAAGGATCAAGATTGTGCATTTATTTACCAAAAAGTAAAGAATGCTAGTGCATGCTTTCTGTTTGCACACGCGCCTCGCCATGAGTGTTGGCTCCTTTTGCTGAAAAGTCCATAGATCTATAGTCAAAGTCAATACGTTTATTTATTTCTGTTTTTTTTTTTCAATTTCCAATATTTCAAAAAGGAAGAGATCCCATTGTTATCCACAGTAAATGCTTTTCTTTGGCGGTCTCTTGGATTGGAGGGTTCTTGTTTGCTTTTGTCTCTCTCTCTGTCACCCAGTAAAGGAAAAAGCAACATCACGCTCACACGCAGATGAAGGGGAAAGAGAGAAGGCACGACAGATAATAGTGGTAACCCTAAAATCAAACCAGAAACCACCATTGTATATGGTGGAAGCTTTCTAGCTTTTCTTACTTCCCGGAGAGAGAGAGAGAGAGAGAGAGACCAGTGTTCTTAAGAAAATGTTCGGATGTTGTTGTCGGAAAACTGGGAATGAAGCGTTTTCTTTTGGATCTAATCTCTTTTGGATTGTGGAAAACGCCTGGTTGTGTTCGTGAGCTTGGAAACTTAGCTTGCATGTCTTTTCCCTCGAGTCAATAACTTTTCAAGTCTCGACCTTTGATTCCGTTTTCTTCTTATCCATTTATCCTTTAAAAAAACACTTCTCCCTCGCTTTATATCCTTAGCCACAAATTTCGAACCTTTTAGGGTAGAGATTTGCATCTCACCGGAATCGTATAAAGTTCGCTCCTCTAGGCGTAAATGCATGGATAGAAGAGATGCAATGGCGTTATCCGGGTCGGGTTCTTACTATATCCAGAGAGGAATATCCGGGTCGGGTCCTCCGACTCAACCGACGTTCCACGGATCACAAGGGATTCACCCTATGTCCAATTCAAACCCTCCGTTCGGGTCAAACACGGGAAGCTCCGCCGGATTCGGGTCTCCGCCTTTGTCCGTTGAGCATTCTCCGGCTGGCGCTCCGTCCTCTACGGCGGCGGTTCCGCCCCACGTCGGCATGAATGTGGTTGCTCCGCCGCCGGGCGAGATGCCCGTGAAGAGGAAGAGAGGGCGGCCGAGGAAATACGGACAAGACGGTTCCGTGTCGCTGGCATTGTCTCCGTCTGTTTCGACCATGACCCCAAACCCTAACAGACGCGGCCGTGGACGGCCTCCGGGATCGGGCCGCAAACAACGGTTAGCTTCCATCGGTAAGACTCTCTTCCTTCGGATCTCTTCTGCGAATTTGCCTCTTATGCTTATGTTCATGTAAATGTATGGATACGCTTAGCGCCGGAAAAAATGGCTGAGAATCATATGAGCTTATTATCTATGTTTTGTCTGTACATAATATGGATACATGTATTTTTGCTTGGAGGATTAACCAAAAAGCGACGGAATTTTTAATGCTGATTATGGGTTTGGAATATAATTTTTTATTCCTACATGCGAGTCTGACGGATTCCTCGTTACATCTCCGTCTGACAACTTCGTATTTAAGAGTTCACCATTCACAGAACTTGCTATTTCTGGATTCCTCGATGCTAAATCCCAAATGGGTCTTCTTGGATTTTTTTTTATAGGTGATTATCTGCCTTCTTCCTCAGGAATGAGCTTCACACCCCACGTCATCACGGTTTCCATAGGCGAAGTAGGCTTTCTTCTCTATCTGTATATTTCTGTATCAGATAGTATAGTATTCTGTGTATATATATCAAAGATTCAACTGTTTTTTTTTTCTTCAGATTATCTTCCCCTCTTGTTACTGATCGGTATCTTGTTCATAGGACATTGCAGCAAAGGTGTCAGCTTTCTCGCAGCAAGGTCCGAGGGCCATTTGCATCTTATCCGCAAGTGGCGCCGTCTCTACTGCAACTCTTCATCAGTCTTCATCTTCCCCAGTGGCCATTACATACGAGGTTGTATTTCTTTTCATCTCATCCCTTCAAAACAAGACATGCTTACTGTGTTTATCGTGTCTGTGTATGTTTAGGGCCGGTTTGAGATCCTCTCTCTGTCTGCATCATATCTGGTCACGAGCGATGGAAGCTACCGGAACCGAGCTGGAAATCTTTCAGTCTCGCTCGCTAGCCCGGATGGACGAGTCATTGGCGGTGGAATCGGAGGGCCACTGGTTGCAGCCAGTGTTGTTCAGGTGCTTTTTCTTCTCTTTTCTTGTAAGCTGGCTCGGGTGAAACAGAGATCTTGATGGGTTGCTGCTTGCATTGCATGGCAGGTTATTGTCGGAAGTTTCATATGGGCGGCTCCGAAGGTGAAGAACAAGAAACGAGAAGAAGCTTCCTCCGAGGTTGTCCAAGACGACACCACTAACGATCAAACGCTTGACGACAACTCGGTCTCGCCCGTGACTCAGCTGGGTCAGAACATCATTCCGACATCTGTAGGCATGTGGTCGACTGGCTCACGTCCCATGGACATGCGTCATGCCCATATGGACATCGATCTCATGCGTGGATGATGATGACGACATACCAGGCCATCTCTTCCCACTTTCCCCCCTCGCCATATATAAGCATGGAACTTAGGAAGACGAAGAAGATAGAGCTAACCTTGGGAAACGTTAGAAAGACTCGTGATTTTGAATCTCCAGTTTGTATTTATCTTTAGCTGATAAATCGATCAAATGACGGTTCTTGACTTGTGAAATATTCCTGAATTTATCTTTAGTCTGTATTTATCAATGTTGGCTTTTGGATTTTACCATTCTACCCTTCCCCCCCCTTTTTCTTCTTATGGGCCGTGATTATTGGGCCTTCGCTGATGGGTTTTATTTTCACACGTGGCCCTTTTTCTCTAGCTTTCTCCTTGAGTTTTGTCTCTGTGTTAAAATGCATTTGAAAATTTTCGGTTGATGCATTTGAAAATTAATTTCAATATTTTTGCACATCGAACTAATAACATCCGGAATTAATTATTTTTGTGAATATTATTATTGGAAGTGCTTTACAAGTATAAAGTCGTCATCATACATTAATCTGACACTTTTGACTCCGAAAAAAAACACACATATTAACTCCGATTCCTTGAATGCTTAATCAGAAAGTTCCCATCGGACCGCTAATAATGTTACATTACCTTTGCCGAAGCTTGTTCTGTCTCTCCCAATACTCGTTCACCCACTTCTCAACCTTTCTCTCTGCACTTACTTTTCTCGCAAGAAACCTCTCGAGTTCAGATTCCTTGTAAGGAGGCGGCATCGAACAAGCAACCTTGTCACTCGGAGACGTAACCATCGAATCGTCCATGCATTTCCTCACCGGCCCTTCATCGGTCGGACAAGCCATTGTCTCTGAGCACACCTCTTTTGCTCCTTCCGGCACTTTCACTTCCATCTTCAGCAGTTTTGCGTAGTCTTGTAACAGATGCAGCATGTAATCATACACGTACTTCATCTCCAGATTCTTCTGTATGAACCCACTTCCCTTTCTCCCTATGGCTTCGGCCTATATATATATCGAATCGGATCAGCACGATCAGATGGTTAAAGATGTTTTCTTGGTGGGTTTGAACTTACTTTGTCAGTGTTGCTGTTGCCCCATTCCACGGCGAACTTGATGTCTCTGCACTTGCTGTAAGGCCTGATCGGCCAATAATGCTGCATCGGCACCATGCTTCTGCTGAAGAAATCATGGTACTCGGGCTTTACCAACAATGTCATGCTGTCACACGCTAGTATATACTTCTCGCTCACCGACCATGCCACCCCTTCTATGTAAATCTTGTACCTTTTTAACAGATTTGAGTCAAGATTCGAGCATATCATCTAGAAACACCCATCAAAGATGGCCAAGAGCATATATATGTGTATATATACCTATGCGTGCATTGGTCTTCTAAATTCGAATCCTTGAACCCTTGTGCAATTTCTTTCACCCAGTCCTGAAAGACGTTTATATATAAAGGGGTCATGATATATGATTGCATATCTACATATATACGCATGCGATTATGCATAAACGTGTGTGTGTGTGTGTATATATATATGTATAACTACCTGGGCATAAAGATGGACCATGGGATCATACTTGTCGGAGAAGTTACAACGCATGAGCTCTGCCCTTAAAGAAGACACACCAGGATTTCCTTTCCAGTAGGCGTACGGAACTCTGTCCTTCCATTTCACTCTCTTGTTCCCTTCTGCTATGCCCTCTGATAACTTGTTCCACGCCTTTATGTTCACCTCCGGCCTAACATCAAATGGTTGTTTAATCTGGTCATCTGATCTGTGTATATAGTTGCCACATATGCTGATGAAAATGAAAGGATCAGAGAGGGAAACGAAAGAGACATTACCAGCCCCAGAAGCTCCAATCGGGGAAGACGATGTCAAACGCGTCTCTGTGACCGCAGTAGTGAAAGAGCGGCGGGGGAGGCAACGTGGCGTTCACTCCTTGGTAATCACGTTTCCAGATCGCGGGTCTGTCGTGGCACATGAACAGAAGCTCGAGATCCGGAACGCCACCGGGGTACAACCTTAGCAGCTGCACTATCCCCCAAATCGTGAACACGTCCCTTGTCTGAAACGCCTTATCGTACTGTTCCACGTACACTTTCCCTCCTTTTATCACCAACCTGAAGTGTGCCTTTGGTCTTGCCCTCTCCAACGTCTCTCTCGTGATGCCCTCTTTCCGCCAGGCGTCGAGATCTCGGTGTATCCACCGGAAGTAGTCAGGACACGGCTCTGTCTCCGTGGCCGAGAGATCGGAGAGTTCCCACTTTGTCGGGTAGTTTGAAGGGCATGCCTGTGGAATGGTCTGATTGGCTGAGCAGCTCAACGGAATCTTGACTTCTGTTCTAGGGCTGTTCGTATTGTTTCTTGTGGCCAAAGGTACTAATTGGATTCGACCCTCTCTCACCACGACCTAGAGAACAGCCAAAAACAAGAAAAGACATAGTTCTTATGTTGAATTTGCGAGGGAAAACAGGGTAATACATACAGAAGACGCTGCATCTATACACGATCATGTACAGCCCTTTTCATCGTATACTGGTATGGAAACAAGGGTTATGTACGGTTCGTGTACGTACGGACACGGTGCACGTGCGTTGGAATCGTGGCGGGATTGAGAGGAACATACCATATCCATCCAGCAGAGGGAGGCGCCGAGGAGGAAGAAGATGAAGATAGTAGTGGTGATCCATGTCCTGGCCAATCTGGAAGTTATGTTCTGAAACGCTGTGTTCTGTTTCGGGGTTCCAAGCGGAGATTGCACCACGTGATAATTCCCATGCCCGCTCTCTCCCATGGAAGGGGGATCCAAAGCTAAAGTACACGAAGAGAGACGGCTAATTTTGATCTCACAACCTCATAGAACTTGTCGTGGTTCTCTTTAAGACAATATGTTCCGAGGATTTCTTCACCATATTTCTACGTTTGATTAGGATAAATCAATCAATAGGGATTGATGAAAACGAAAGCAACTCCCCAAGTCAAATTCTTCATGCTCCCTGCGAATAACCCTAATATATATATATATATATATTGGAATAAAGTTATGGATACGTATCGATTCTTCATTTTTCCGTGGAGAGAAAAAAAAAACTGAATGCGCCTTTCAACACGGGAGGCATGAAATCGATGGATAAATTGAGCCCAACGGAAAGCTAAAATCGATGGATAATTTGTTTTCCCTTTATTTTTTTTTTTACGATTTAATATGGTTTGTATATCTAAATTTTTTTAGAATATTCGAATTTGTGTATTTAAATCAGGGTTTCAATTTGAGATTGGACTCGCCTCCTCTTTCTTTAGTTTCTACTTTCTAGAGTTTATGAGATTGGAAATGAACAGTAAGAGATAATTATTAGAGGGAAGAAAAAAAGAGAGGGTGAGAAGATTTTTATCATTTAAGAGAAACAGGTCTAATAATGGTAACCTTCTAAGTTTAATGATAATTTAATAAAAACATGTATATTTTATTATTCATATTCGACTCCAATTATTCGGATATTTTCGGAATAAAAAGGGGTAATCGCATAATTAGTGAAACCTATTTTCTCTGGCTTAATTTCTTCGAACCATTAAGAGTCATGCCGCACCATGACAAATCAAAATGCTTGTTTTTTTTTTCTTCCACACGCCAAAAAAAAAGGGGACAAATCAAAGTGTTGAATAACCCAAAAATAAAATAAAAATTTGAATAGTCAGATAATAAAAACATAGGGCCGCAACCTAAAATGCTTAAGATTAGGTATGCAGTTGCAACAAGTCCAAGTCTGCATTTATCTTTGTATTATCTCAGAACTTTAATATATATATTTAATTGACTATTTCCTTTTTCTTTCTTTCTTTCTTTTTTTTTTAATTTTTATATTTAACGTGTACTAGGAGCATTTACATCTTAAGTTGATTATTATGATATAATAATACGACCCCATTGTCAAATCACGTCATTAGTCCACCTCACCACCAATTTTATTAGTTTTCTATGATAGGATATTATAATTATTTGGGTCGTTCTTCGTATGTCAATTTTTTGTGATTAAATAGAATTCGTCTTAAACCACACAAAGCATATCATAAAACTGAGAATATATATATATATA